AAATCTGATCGAAATGAGATCAAACCCCTGCACGAGATTTGTACCCAAGGTAGAATCTATCAATGCCCTAATCGTATATTAGCCAATCACAAAGCCCAATGCGAGAAGTCAATAATTACAGAAGATCATACAGAACCATGTAGATACACGAAGCTTCAGATTGAAGAAAATCACATTGAATTTATTCCCGAAATTAACCAGTATTTAGCTGTATTTCTCACCGAAGAAAAATTGAAAATTAAATGCAAGGAGCAAATCAATACAAAGTCATTATTTGGCATTTTCTTAGTCAAAGCCAGTGAATGCCAAATATCATTCCAAGACAATGAACTTATCTTTCAAGACAAAACCTATGGAAAGCCCCTCGTAGCTGACAAAATGGATTTCCATTTTATGAAACAAAATATCCCAGAGACACAAATTACTCTGAAAACGTTAAATTTACCAGAATTACAAGTTAATCGAATGTTACCAATTTTAGAAGAAAATTCCATAGAAAATTTTGGAAAACCCAGTATTTGGACCATATTACTATATCTCGTATTTTCAAGCATCTGCTGCATAATTTTATATAGAAGATGGAGAAACAAGAAAGCATCCAAGTTAGAAATCGACATTGAATTAGCCGAGATGAAAGAAGAAGGTCCAAGTCCCACAAAACGCACTAGAAGAGAAGATTCCAGTTCAAGATATAAGAAGAAAGAAATTCACCTTCCAGGGGAAGCTTCATTCTAGGGGTGGAGGAGTTATGTACCAGTCTACAGAGAAGAATATGCTGAACAAGGACTTTTGCCTCCACGTGCCTTTCTTATCAGTTACAGTATTGTATTTCATTTGTTCTTTACTTTGGTTTGTATAATGAACTTTGCAGTCAGTCTCGATTCAGAACTCATTCAATTAACATCATTGTATTTGGTCTTTCTCAAAAATAAATCTTTTTAAAAACGTTTTCGTTGAAGAAAGATATTTGAGTTGTATAAATAACTTAAGACTATAAAAAAAACATAAAAAAATATATGTATATAAAATTCATTAGACAAGTCCTGGTAAAATTTTTAAAAAGACACAATCGGGACGGAGACGCAAAATCGGGACGTAGACACAATCGGGATAGAGACAATATTGAAACAAAAGGCAATATTAGGTGAATAGACAAGAACAAAAATTGGTAAAAATAAGTCATAAAATGCAATAATTCAGGGGGTAAGAATTCAAATCAGTTTGATTTATACATTTTTTTTTTCATTTTGAACTTTCAAATATCTAGAGAGATTTCCGCTTTCAGTAGTAGTAGATATTTTTGATATCAATCGCTTGATGAATCTTGAGCCTATGCTGGTCCAAAATCCACAGTCGTAGATGCTTTTTCAAAACCTTTGTATTTTTAATATCTTTTATCTGAGGGGGGATTAAGTTATATATTTTTGGTCCTAGGAAAGTGAAACTCCTCTGACCTATGGTCTTTTTAGGCTTTGGTATGCGTACTGAATGATCTTTGGATCTGGTGTGATAGTCATGTGGGAGGAAATTTAATAAATGCTTATGTTTTGTAATATATGTGAACACACTCTCAAAATAGAGTTGCCTACAATCACATATCTTGGATAGGTGTTAGTTTTGCGGAACATGATTTTACGAATCCATTTCTGAGTTATTTCTAGTTTCCTGTAGTATTTATTCAACACCGGTCCCCATGCCAAAATTCCAAGTTAACAACGGTTGTACCAACGTTTCGTATATGGTGCATAAGTCTTTATCAGAAAGAATTTCCCTAAAAAATTTAAATTTTGGTATAAGACATCTTAATCTCTTCGTTAAGCTTTCTATCTGTTTGTCCCATTTTAGGTGGCTGTCTATTATGATTCCTAGGTATTTTATATGATACGGTTGTACCAACGTTTTGTATATGGTGCATAAGTCTTTATCAGAAAGAATTTCCCTAAAAAATTTAAATTTTGGTATAAGACATCTTAATCTCTTCGTTAAGCTTTCTATCTGTTTGTCCCATTTTAGGTGGCTGTCTATTATGATTCCTAGGTATTTTATATGATACGGTTGTACCAACGTTTTGTATATGGTGCATAAGTCTTTATCAGAAAGAATTTCCCTAAAAAATTTAAATTTTGGTATAAGAAATCTTAATCTCTTCGTTAAGCTTTCTATTTGTGTGTCCCATTTTAGGTGGCTGTCTATTATGATTCCTAGGTATTTTATATGATTTGCTGGCTTTAAGACCACTACTTCATCTATGGGTGGTACTTTGATGTGTATGTTAGTGAATGTGGGACTGTTCCTATCATCACATGAAAAAGTCAGATATAAAGTTTTTTCATAATTGATTGTTAATATTTTATTATTGAACAAGCTTATAATGACTCTGAAATCCTCTTCAATAAGAGTCTTTAAGATATCCCAAGATTTTTCGCTATAAAAAACAGCCGTATCATCTGCGAACCCGATAATTTTACCGTGTGTGTGTAGGTTAAAAAGATCATTTACATATAGGTTAAACAGGATAGGTCCTAAGACTGTACCTTGTGGGATACCGTATGTTACATGATGCAAGTCGCTGATGGAATTATTAACTTTTACACATTGATTCCTATCTAAAAGGTAGCTTTTGAGTAAAGTATGTGTTTTGCCACGAAATCCTAGATTCTCCAAAGTAGTTAGTAATTCTTTGTGTTCAACTGTATCAAATGCCTTCTTTAAATCTATAAAGACACAGGCTGATGGGTTTCCTAAGTCTAGACTGGTATACACGTCTTCCATCAAAACTGCAATTGCATCTTGTGTGGATTTTCCTTCTTGGAAACCATATTGCTGCTTAGATAGAAGTCTATATTTAGCAATAAAATTAGTAAAACGGGCCTTCAAACTTTTTCAAAAATCTTTGAGAAAATGCTTATTAGTGAGATTGGTCTATAATTGGAAATTTGTGTCTTTTCTCCAGATTTGTGTAGTGGCTTCACTAGTACTGTTTTTAGTGCATCAGGGAATATAGCTTTGTCTATGCAAGTATTGATGAGGTACGATTAGACACTTAAAATGTTGTTACTGATTTGTTTGAGCGTGTATGGTGTTATACCATCAAGGCCTGGCGATTTATTTAGCTTTAGTTGGCAAATAATATTATTTACCTCAAGCGGATCAGTTGGTGCCAGATAAATTGAATTTTGTATTCGCGTTCTTTCAAATTTTTCATGATGCGTTATATTTTTTGCCAGTATTTCCCCTACTTCTGAAAAATACTTACAAAATTCATTCGCTGTATCTTTATCATTTATTGTGAGTTTATGTGTCGTCTGACTTTCTACAAGATGTATATGTACTGGCTTTATTTTATTGTATTTGTTTACGAACTGCCACATTTTTGTTGGGCTGTCTTTGTTTTTGTATATATTGTTTTTGAGAAAGTTTGTTTTTGCCATGTTAATGACTTTGGTTAGCTTATTGCGATACGTTTTAAAGTCGTTTAGTAACTGAGCGTTTTCAGGATGATTTTTTGTAGCCTTATACAGTTGTTTTTTTTATTAATTGAATTTACAATCCCATTAGTAATCCATGGCTGTCTCTTTATCTTGTTACTATTTATTTCAATTGTTTTGGAGTTACTGTCTATGTATTTTCCTAGAATTTTTACAAAAACATTAAATGCTTTGCCTGGATGCTCTTCATTGTACACATCATACCAGTTTTCGGTACTTAAGGCTTCATTCAGCTTTTTGTAGTTTATATAATGTCCTGTATTTTTTCGTTGTTTTTTGTTTAAATTCTTTATTGTCTTTTATAGACAATTTTAGTATTATGGGAAAATGGTCTGTGTAATGTTGTAATGCAATATAGCCGAAGAAATACAGTCAGATGATAAAAAAGGTGAATTTACGAAAATATGATCCAGGCATGTTGCACTACTCCTCTCCACTCGTGTGTAGCCGTTTATAGCTGACAAATAGCTATGTTCGGCCATAATGTTAAGGTACTCATAGGAGTGTGGATTATTTTCGTCCATAATGTCTATGTTCAAGTCTCCGATCAATAAATTGACATCAACATCAACTGTTTCATTTGATTGCGATGCCTACATAGTGGAATGTAAGGTTACGTTACACATTATATGTGGTCACGTTTTTATTAATCACAGAGGAACTGGCGTTCAAGGTAATTTTATATCATTTTACTAACAAACGGCTATGAAATTCTGATGAAATGTGCCGTAGATTTACCAAAAACGTTGAGGTCGTACTGATGAGAGTCAAAGCTCTGACGTAAACTTTAGGTTTCAGATTTTAACATTTTTCGTATAGGCTGTTTTCTCTTCGTCATTACCGATGGCTTCATTATTTTTCACCCGTACGTCTTTGTATCAAAATTTGCATGAATGACTGAAAAAATGAGGTAAAACGAAGAATTTTGTTAACAACTTTACCCACCTGCAATAGGAATTCACGTGAATACCTGGCAATTAATGTCAGTGCGGAATTACCGTCATTGCTCGTAGCAGATAAATTTAAACGCCTCACTTAAGGGTGCCGCTCGAGAAGGACGCGCGGCGCGAAGCAACATGTTACAGCACAAACAGTAAATGACAAAGAAGGGAGTGTCAACAGGTGACTCCAACAACGTAATAATGGAGACAGATGCTATTCCTTCATTTTACAGCTGGAAAGCTGAATTAATTATCTACTCTGACTGAGAAATTTTGCAGTTGTATAAAATATACGGTGCTGCTCCCATTCCTGTGGTTTCTTAATTTTTAATTACAGATAGTGATGATTAAACAATTGCTCTGTATTACCTATCACTAACAAACCTAGGAGGAACGGAATCTGAAAAACAGTACGCTGAACAGTTTTGTGATGATTGCACAACTAGTATTTGCCTTAGATAAGGATTTCAGTAATTTCCACCACAAATCTAAGCTCATGATCACTCAACAAAGGTCGGCCATTGGGTTCCACATGCACTGTATCACACTTTCACAGTCTCGAACAAGTTACGATGGATGTCCTTTTCGATTGCAAATTGTTCTCTCTATGGATTGGTAACATGAAATTTTCCCTTTTGGTGATGATATTTCCACCTGGACATGCGAAACTGAGTCTGCATCCCTCCCACACTATCTGCGTCCGAGCTCTATATTCTGATGGATATCCAGTTGCGGTGTGGAGTAGTTTTCTGCTTACTAAAAGCAGATGTTCTGTCAGTCTTGATAATTACTGCCACAATCAACATTTTCACACGCCTAAACCTTGACAAAATTTTGACTTGTATAATCGTGGTACTCCCAAAAATAGCTCTACGGCTATGTACAGGGTTTGACTCCTCAGGGTCTTCGACTCCTGCATTGATCTAACGCTCACTGTTGATTACCTTATATTCCATTAGTCTATTCAATTATTATTTGAATTTCCAAATCAGTTCAACCTCAAGGTATATCACAATGAAACCTAGCTAAGTGGGCCCAGAATATCTGAGAAGCATATACGTCTTTCACAAAAGTGGAGATATCTCTGATATTTCCAACTATCGCCAAACAGCAATCCTGTGCAATTTCAGCAAGCTGTTTGAGATCATCGCTTATGAAACAGTTTACTGCTCGGTCAGGAGTGCAGTCTCTATTAATCAGCATGGGTTTATGAGAGGCAGATCTACGGTCACCAAGTTGGCTCTAATTACTCAGTACATTTCTGAAGTACTGGACGGTCAGGGACAAGTTGATGTCATCTATACAGATATTCAGAAGGCGTTTGATCAAGTTGATCATTATGCACTTTTGGATAAGTTTAAAACAGTGGGTATGTCTGATGCAATGCTGTCGCTCATGAATTCATACTTGAGGGATAGAAGGTTATTTGTCGAATATGGTGGTCATAGGTCGAGTTACTATCGGGCCACGTCCGGGGTACCTCTAGGGTCAAATCTAGGTCCATTATTGTTTTTGATATTTATTAATGACTTGTCTTTTGAACTGAAGTGTTTCCATTTGTTTTTCGCTGATGACCTTAAAATCTGCACGTCAGTCAAGACAGTCGAGGATTGCGTCATGTTGCAAGATGACTTAGCTCTAATTTCGTCATGGTGTTCACGAAACTGTCTCAGTCTGAATGTTTCGAAATGTAAAGTTATGACTTATACAAGAAAGGCTAACTATTTAATTTATGATAATTATAACTTCAATTGTCAGGTTATAGACAGATGCACCTCTTATAGAGACCTTGGAGTCACTTTTGATACCAAGCTAACGTTTACTGAGCATATACTCAATATCTTGTCGGCTGCCACACGACTACTTGGTTTCTGTATCAGAAACTGGAAGGGTTTCTCCAATGTTGATACATTAATGACTTCATTTTTTACTTTTGTCAGGAGCAAGTTGGAGTATGCGACTCTGATCTGGTCATGATCCTTGAGGACATTCAACGTAAAGCTTTAAAGTATTTTCACCTAAAATGCACAGGTTCTTATCCAGCAAGAGGTTGTGACCATAGTGCCCTATTAGAGTTTTTCAATTTGGATTCACTGTCAACAAGACGAAACATATTTGCTTTGTCGTTTTTGTATTGCCTCATTCACAATAAAATTTACTGTCAAAATTTACTTGAAAAAATATGCATCCGCGTTCCAAGGCTAGGGAGTCGACAATAAACGGCATTCTATTGTCAAGCTGGCCGTACAAATGTTATGACAAAATCGCCAATTAAACTCATGTGCTGCGTCATGAACAGTGTTACTGCATCGTGTGATATTTACAGTGACATTTGTGCATCGATTATTAACTGCTATAGATCATCCAATCTTATTTAGAATGTGTGATACTATAGATTTAAGTCCAAGAACCATGTCTCTTTGATTGTTATTTTTTTCAGCATTTCCTGTAAGCCAGCTAAGGCTTATTGTGCTCCCCCAGTGCAGGTATAGCAATTCCTTTGGCCATAATTTTGATGTGTCAAGTAGCAGGACAGACGAAGGTAATATGATTTGCAATTTCTTCCGCTTCGCCGCCCATCCTACGTAAGGACCTTGACCCCTATCGTCTGTCGCTGCGCTCTAAGTTACCAGTGTCGTTCATAAGACTAAACACCTTCCGTAGCTCATCCCTAGTAGATCTATGCGCTTTTGCTGTATTTGGCCTCGAAGGTTCCCTCAGCATTTCTTTGGATTGAGTATATCTTGCTACCCTGTGCCACCTCGTTTGGTGCTCATTTGGCATTCAACAAGAAAGAGTGACTCCTGCAAGGCGATACGCCGCACACTGGTTCAGTTCCCAGAAGGAATTACAAATTACAAAAAAGGGGTTGGCTTGTTAGCAATGACGTCACTGCGACAAATATAGATTTTTGTGACTCAAATGAGGGCAGTTCCCCGCTATCTTCTAGGTTTACTTATGTCATTAGAGCAGCTTGGCTGTCTGCGTTTACATAATGGTCCTTTCATCATAACCCCTATCTATGGATATTCTACCACATTCTATGAATTAATCAATTGCCGCCTGGAATACAGTAGTTGCTTTGCCTAAGTCTGACATTAGACATTTATTCCGTAGTTGATGCGGTTAATGCAGTTCGAGGTATGACATGGTCGATCCGGGGTTCTGTCACTAAGATTGACTTGATATGGTATCACAGGGTCCACGGCTTTTGGCACTATGTCAGGTAGTATTTCTAAGGTTGTACAGAGTTCTTTTGCTAAACTAAAATGTGTCTAGAGCTTTAAGCAGGTGTTGTCTCAAGATACTAAAATTAAGCTTTGCGATTTAGTCATTTTAAGTAAGATAGAATATGGCAGTTCCCTGTTTGGTCATTGTTTGACTCAAGCTTACAGACTTACAGAAAGTGCAGAACAGCTGTATTAGATATTCTGTTCGAATCCGAAGAAGGGAGCGAGTGTCTTCATTTATTCAGGAAGTGAATCGGTTGGTTGAGAATGTTTGATCCATTCACTTACCACGCCCACTGACTGGTGAGGAAGTATTGCTACCGCGAAAAATTTAGAAAATGAAATAATATATTTTTTGGCTATTATATGACATGCGCATCATGAAAAGCCATGTCGCTCATTTCCGTAGGTCTGTCTGTCGGTCTCTCTGTCTATCGGTGTGTCCGCTAAGCCTTGGTCTCTATCTAATTAAATTAGATTTTACTAATCGGATTTGGATGGAATTTTCACATAAGGTTATTATTATGCTAAGCACAAAAAGGCTTTGTACGCTTTTGTGATCGGTCCATTGGCAGCAGAAATGCTTTCTAAAAACGAAAAAATCAAAAAGCACTTCGGTTTTTTGACGTTTCAGGTGATACTGATCCTTATTGGAAAAAAATTTGAAGGTTAAAAATTGGGGAATGTTGTATCAATGCACTAAAAACACCAGTAATTATACGCATCTATCAGACATATTTCACACATCATAGATTCAACGGTACGTTTGCCCTTGAAACAGGAAAATGTCTTCAGCCAAATGATGGCGTACCTATCGGTCGCACTTGCCGTGCGCCACAGGTTTTTGATATTGCATCTTGGGTATCGAATCCAAGGACTTATGGGTAAAAGCAGGTAGCAGACAGCGTATTGGTGCGATATTATCATATATATTATGCTTGTAGTGTAATTTAATGAGGTTACTTGATTTCGTGAGTTGTCAAAAATTGTTGACAGACTCTACCATTAGGAGGAGGGATGCAGGTCAGTATACCGGGGGTTTCAAATTCGACGATAACCGTTGGGATCTCTAAAACGGTAAGATACGATGTCGCTTGAGTGGTTTTGGTTTTTTCCTGACTTTATTTGTAGTGGAATTCAAAATTAAATTGCACTATAATATTCCCACCTTTTCTCCTCTACAACATAGCATAATCAGAATTTCAATATGATTTGTTGTCTATTGTCCTCCAGCATCAATTTTATTTTTTTTTATTTTTGCACAGATGAATGGACTCTTTAATTCTGATTCTAAACATGTATGTGTCATACATTTACATTGCCAAACCTTAGGCCCGTATCGACAGTCATCCCTACAATTGTAGGGCGCCTTTATGGCCTCCTTGATTGTCATAGTTCTCTACTTCTCCCTGTCAGCGCTCTATTTTGAGGTTATCTCACAAACATCTATTTGCGTCAAATTGTGCTTGCTTTTGAGTTATATCATGTTTTATCAGCCTGAAATTTCCTACAATTTAAAAAGACAACATATCTTCACAATAGGAGAGCGCTGACACTGACACAGGACAAGTGTAATCTAGAAATTTTTGAAGGAGAGAAAGGATTTCATACTGACATTGTGTACATTTAAATACTTCTAAGAATTATATTACTTGAATGGAATGTGAAGTTTATTGATAGATAAATAAACGTAAATACGGAAAAAACTAAACTTAAGGATGAAGATCGAAACAAAATTGACTACTAATTTGACTACGCTCTCTTGCAGACGAGAAAGAGTGGCTATGCTTATATGGAACTTTTTAAAAAAACACTTTTCAAATAACGCCAGAAAATAAATAACGATTTTTCAATAAATCCGGTATACGAAACAAATAACTACCTGATAATTTCAAGGCCTACCATGGAATAACTGAGGTCTGGCATATATGACGTATATATATTGGAATCAGAATTAAGAACTCGTTTCATCTTCGCAAAAATCTAATATGGCGTCTATTAGAAAAACAAAGTTGGTGCTGGAGGACAACACACGAAACGCCATATTATATTCCTAATTATACCGTCTTATAGAGTAATTATACCGTCTTATAGAGGCAATGTTAATGTGCAATTAATTTCTAAGTTCCACTACAAATAAAGACAGGATTAAATCAAAACTATTTTGGGAAAATTCGGCTTTTTCAATCCGTCTCCAGAAGTATTTTGTAATTCAAAACTTTTTAAGTGGAATCTTGCTAGTGACGTAAATACGCAACTTTGCTCCATTTAAGTATCTCTTACCAAGATCCCAATTGTGAGGGTCGAACCTGAAACACCCGGCACAGTGAGACATGATTTTTGATTTCTACCCCCATAGATGAAAAACGGTACATTTTGATCACCGCTGGACATCCTGTAGATTCCATGTCGCACCTGCTTATTTCAGAAATTGAGTAAACCTCTATAGGTGACCAAGGATCATATATGCTCGAGACCCCAGTTGACCAGGTCTCGCAATAATAGTTATTTTAGAAGCCGTGGTTTAAGATCTACACATGCTCAAACATTATGTAGGTACTAATTGCAAACTGCATATAAACGTATCCCGAGAGCTTATCTACCTAGTTATTACGCTTCTGCTTATTTCCGGCAACTATCACAGATCGGTAGATATCTGAAACTCAAAGTTCGGTGCAGCGAGTAAATGCAGCTTAAAAGGGAGCCGAATGTAAACAAAAACTCGGCTCCGTAAATACAGCCTGCATGCAGGTGTGCGAAAGCTGGAAGGATAAGTTGAGCCCCTCGGGATATTAAGGATAATTAAAAAAGTTGCTGATGAAACTCTCTCATAGTCCCGGATCTGGCGTCCAGGAGGAATCTACATCAATTCAAGTAGAGCCTCAAGGGAATAGCGACATGTGTACAACATTAATTTATTGGTACTTGACGCACCATAAAATATACTGTGGAACGTGCCAAAATCACCTAACCCTTTCTTTACTATTTTGATTACTTACCAGTAATTTGAATTTCTCTTTATTAATGGTAGATTGCTAGGCCAAACCCTTGTTAGTGATTTTCTTTCGGCAAATTTCATAGTTCATTGATTGCATAATTTCACACGTATTATACAGGGTGTTCATTAATGATATTTAAGGGTGTGAATCTACATGAAAAACTAAAGTTAGTTTGCTTCATAAACTATGATCCAAAAATGTTTCCTTACAAAAACTCGGGGTGTTGAAGTTTTAGGAAAAAAAAATGGAAATTAATTAATATTTTCAGAACCGCTTCAGATATTTCCCTGATAGATAGTACGTGCTGAAAGTTAATAATGTTGCATATTTTTCAATGCAAAAATAATTTTTATCTTTAACAGTGGCGTGCGTACGGGTACTGACTTCGATATTTTTTAAGTAAAAAATAGTACACCAATAATCTTATGCCAGATAAAAATTATTTTTGAATTTCCCGTTCAATTTAAAACAAATGATCTTTCTTGAATTGTTTTCTTTCGATGCGTCATTTTTGAGTATAAAAATAAGAACCATTCTATTGTCCGAGAAAATTAATGTAATAATTGAAGAATGCAATAGCAATAAATATCTAGTTGCTCTGGAATATGTCACTGGCTTTTGACATCTGATAAGTCTCTGTTATTCAAATCTGTTCGCTGTGACACCTTTTTCATTATTTAGTTTTTACAATCTTGTTCAAATGCATAAATGGCGGAAATGCATTACGTATATGGCGCTGCCGATGGTAATAGTGAACAAGCCAGACGGATATATCGCCAGAGATATCCCGATCGTGCTTTGCCAGATAGTCAAACCTTGTCTAATATTCATCGTTGTCTCGTTAAAACTGGTTCTGTCCGAAAAGGAATATCTGTAGGTAGATCTCTAAGTGTGAGAACACCCGAAATTGAGGAAGCAGTACTGCACGAAGACGAAGAACATCCTCAAACGAGTAGGAGGAAGATCGCTAGACACTTAAATATTTGCCATCAAATTGCTTGGAGAATTTTGGTGGATTTGTTTGTTATATACTTATCATATTTTAAGAAGACAGGCATTACTTTCCATTGATTTTCCAAGGCGTGTGACCTTTTGTCAGTGGTATCTTCAAAAAATTACACAAAATCCGCAATTTAAATCAATGATTCTGTTCACGGACGAAGCTAATTTTTCTCGAAATGCCATTCAGAATTTCCACAATAATCATTTGTGGGCAGAATAAAATCCCTATGCCGTAACCGAAACCCACTTCCAACACCAATTTTCGGTTAACGTATGGGCAGGAATTATAGGCAACCACTTTATTGGCCCATTCTTCTTGCCGGGACAACTCGACGGACAGACTTACCTCAATTTTCTTCAACAACAGTTGTCTTTGCTGCTTAATAACTCAGCAGTTCGTAATTATTTACAAACTGTTTATCGAAATCGTTGGATTGGCCGCTGTGGGCCCCAAGAATGGCCACCAAGGTCCCCAGACCTTAACAGTTTAGATTTCTTTTTGTGTGGCTATCTTAAGACACTAGTGTACACAAGTTCCATTAACACTGTAGAG